GTAATGTATGTATTGATCCATAGTGATAAAATGTATGCGAATGAGCGCCTTTGCGCTAGTTGGGATACCTCAAAAAAAATAGCTGTAACTGCTCAAGAAAGCAAAATCGCTCGGCACAATGTATATTTTCCTGAATGCACAGATTCTGCTTGAGAGATTGGTGCAAAGAAATTTAAATGTTACTAGGCAAACATGAGAATACAGAAAGCTCGGAGGTGGCAATCCGCATATTGCTATATGAACGTATTGATTGATCTATAGTGATCAATTTATGTGAATGAGCGCGACAGCGCTATTTGAGATTTGTCAAGGAAAATAGCTAGATCTTCTCAAGTAAGCAAAATCGCTTTTCAAAATAATGATATTCTGAATCTAGGGATCCTGCTGGATCGAATAGTGTAAAGAAATTCATATTTTACTGGGCAAACTTGAAAGTACAGTAGGCTTGAATGTGGGTGGCACCCGCAGGCCTTGAAATATTACTAAGAAAATATCTTTATCTCCCCAAGGAAACCAAATTACTTTTCAAAATATATGTTATTCTGAATCTAGAGGTTCCACTGGATCAAAAGGTGTAAATAAATTCAGATGGTACCGGGCAAACCTGAGAGTACCGGTACCTTGAAGATCGTAACGCCTATAGCGCTATAGTGATGTGTACAATTGATCTACAGAGATGCAATGTGTATGAATGAGCGCCTCTATGCTAATTGAGATGGCTTTAGAAAAGGAGCTATATCTCTTCAACTAACCGAAATCTCTCGGCAAAATTTTTTTTTTCTGAATGCCTGATTCAGCTGGTCGGGACGATGCAAAGAAATTCACATATTACTGGGCAAAGCTGAGGGTACGGTGGGCTCCAAGATGGTAACCCTTGTATAAATGTGAAAATAGCTATATCTCCTTATGTAATCGTTATTGCTCGGTACAGTATATGTTATTCTGAAACCAGAGGTTCTGAGGAATCGAATGATGCAAATAAATTCATATGTTACCTGACAAACCCGAGAGTACGATTACCTTGAAGAAGGTAATCCTTATTGCGCTATAGTAATGTATCCATCGACGTACAATGTATTGAATGAGCACGTTTGCGCTTCTTGAGATAGCTTTAAAAAATAGCTACATCTCCTCATGTAAGCAGAACCGCTCAGCAAAACATATGATATTCTGAATGAGCAGTCGAATGGTGTATTGAATTTGATATTGGGCAAACCTGAGAATACCGGTAGCTTGAATATATGAACTTTTGTGGTGTTATAGCGCCACTGCGCAAGTACATATCTGCTTATGTAGGCGGAACTGCTCGGTAAAATTTATGTGCTGTAGCTCCGGGGTTAAATGACTACGGTAACTAGCTCTGCCCACAGTTAAGGCAACCAACGGGAGCAGTACTTCCCAGGTTAAGTGACTACGGTAACTAGCCACGCCCACAGTTAACTACACAATCCACATGTTTCTTGCTAGTCTCATATAACTATCTCTCATGGAACGGATATTTCTCGGAAGAACTCTGTGAACTGTTCTTCCACGGAGCTGCTCGATGCACACATTTAGTAACACATTCGGCTGCCACGCTGCACTTCCTCGAAACACTTCTGTACATGTTCATTTTGGTGGCATCATGCGCTATTCTCTTCATTGTTCTACGCATCATACAGTCCTATAAACCTGCTCTACCNCATATGTCGAGTTTTCAGACGAGACAAGCCGAGCGATATGAACGCATCATACAGGTGAGTGCATCAAATTATCATTGTGACATGCAACTATTTGGGTTTATGATTATGTGCGGATTAACTTTTCAGATGGTTTTCAACTACAGAAATTCATTGAATCTCATCAAGTTTGAGCAAAACAGAACTTTAGTAGAATGTTCATGAATAGATCGACAGCTTCAAATATCGGTTACAGATGGAAATTCGTACTGAAATGGGTTTTTTCGATAGAACATTCTAATAAGCTTCTTTTTTGCTCCAACTTTGTGAGATTCAGTGAATTTGTATCGTTGAGAAGCATCTGAAACGTTGATCCATATGTAATCACAAACCCAAATAGCTGCTTAGTACAATGATAATTTTCTTGATTATGTCCTAAATAGTAACGACATTTGTATTCTGATAATGGCAGTTGAATATCGATAATACCGTTGATAATTCTCATTATAATGACGATATAACTGACCGCAATAATTGAAACAGTATCAACGCATCTGTCAAAAAGTGATTTCCTCTGCATTCTACGAGAATATATTCCAAAGAATGTGAAAGCATGAAACAAGATTCGTTTTCCAACGAATCCTTCATTCATTTGCAACAAAAAGAATTTATTTGACATTATTAGATCATATTCATTCGAAGAAAAAAACCACTATTGATAATACGAAAATTTGACAGAACTCCTCATGGATTTCCTATGCCCATTTTCACACCACCAATAAGCCCACTTCAATCCGCAGCTAAACTCCGATTGTAAGCTCAAGAACTTTACCACGCACTTGCGCTTTGGCACCGCTTGAAGAGCCATCTTTTTTGAAACTGTAATATGAAAAAATTCATGTAATGCTTATATGCACTGAAACGTAAACGATTAGACTTCATATTGTGATCAAAAACTCAGTCAGTCAGATCAACTAAACTCGATCGGAAAATTGAATATGGATAAATCTGAATTAGCGATGGCTTCATATTCTATTACCTATTGGTTAATGATAACCTAACAGCCATTAGTTTGGTGCCACTTATAGGCCTACCTGTCATCGTTGGATTTCGACGATTGATCAGATGGTTTTGAAGCATCCGGAAGAGTACCTAGATTGGCCGTTGTTACAGTGTTTTCTGAAAGTATGATTATGCCTGAATCGCAACATATCAAGAATACCATGAGAGTGCCTTAATAGGAGGAACTCTTCGTAGTCTTATCAGTGAACCAATCCAACTTCAACGTAATTAATTTTGGATTCGTTAGTAATTTTCAGTTTCGAAATATTCCTCAAAGTGATCAGTTGATCATTTGAAAGCCGTAACTGCGAGTCACACATTACAATTATGCATTCGAGAGCAAAAGTTGAAATGTTCGAGAGCAAGTCGTAAGATAATTCCTGATATTTCTTTATGTTGACCTTTAGCTGTACTCGCATCTGATGTGCTCAGCGTGAGCGCAGTTCCAGGAATTTCAACAACGGTCGGTGGTTTCTCTGCGGCCGTCTTCGTGCTGACAGTTGATCCTTCATCAGTTTTGAGCTGAACTGAAAAAAATAATGAAAATTGAAATTTTAACTGAAAGTATGGAACCGAACTTATATGAATAACACATAAAGTGTTAAGACATTTCAAATGAATGAAGAAAAGTGGCCAGTGAATTGCGATTTTAAAGGATTTACAGAATCACCAACTTGGAGCCTGTTTATCGGCCTGAAAAAGGTTATCATCGGTTGTTTTTGCTGTTACAGCCGGATCCGAGTAAGGAGCAGTTTTGCCGTTTCTGTTCTCTTTGAGAAGATTAGCTGAAAGATAATGAAGTCTAATGCTGAGCGAATTATTCGTTTGCGACGAAATTTCTCTCTGATGATACGACGAAACATTTGTGAATGCCCTATGAAAATGATTGAATTCTTGATCTGGATGATTTCCTTGACCCTCAAGACGAATTTCTAAGCTATTTTGCATACCATTCACCAGAATTTTCCTTGTTCTCTCTTGATCGTTCAGGACAAAACATTTCATCAGTGCATTTGGAAGATTATTGAAAAAAAGGGAGGCAAATTTCATATGAATGTTCATCGATGCAAGATAGACGAAACAATTCAAAACTTGGTTCTTCATTCACCTTGAGCGGAAATTTCAAGTGGTAATAACTTTTTATCGTTCACCATCATCAATGAGTCTTGAGCCATTAAAGCGGGATTGTCATTACCTGTGTTCGATGACGATGCTGAATTAGTAGCTGAAAACAATTCTTATATGTTTTTTTGGAATCTTGAGCTCTCTAAAGCTTTTCACAATTACTCCCATCTCTTGATTGGGCAGTTCAAAGATAATCAGTCGAGAACGTTGAGTTATTATACTTCTCCAGGGCGACATTGAACTAAATCATTGAATTTTTAGCCAATTTGCTCAGGAAAATTCAAAAATTCAATAAGCAAGCAGAATTTAGATCGACATCCAAAGTTTTCGGCTATTTCAAGGATCAACTATCGATTTGATGGATAGTTGATCCTCGGAATAGCCGAAAATTTTGGAACTGACAAAATTGTTGATCAGTTCGAGGAAAAATCATCTACGCAAACCGCTAAGTCTCATGCTATGGCTCTCAAAACATAAAATCCTCATCGAACTGACATTTAGATGACGCTGAGTCAACAGCTGAATCTGATCTGTTGGACAATGATGATGAGGAGGATTTTCTGGGCCATTTCGCGTCCCATTTGCCTAAAGTTGCCTTCTTCTCCGGTGCCACATCTTCACTTTCCTGCGCTTGTTCGCCTGGAGGTAGTTCGATCTGAACGGCTCTCCCACCCTTCAATTTCAAAATTATTCTGTATTGATTCGCAAATGTAAACTTTAGAAATTAACGAACCAAGAAGGCGAAAGCGTTTTCGCTTTCTAGGTGATCATATAATCATGTATCTGTCTAAACATGAAGATCTGCTGTCGAGCGATCAATTAATGTTTTGATCAACCCCAATTATTTTGATTAATTAGTCGTGAAAGTTTGCATCAATCGGTCGAGATTCAGGAGTTGAGATAACTTATCAAATATTATCTCCCAACATAGCACCCGAACCAGTCACTTAAATATTACCGACAATGATGAACCATCATCATCCAATGGTGATTTTTGCCTGTCGCGTTTGTTATCACCTCGCTCGTTTTTGCCTCTCCCTCCTTTTACTGAATATTTTGGCTGGTCGTCATCGTGGCTTAATGATAGACGAAGTGTAGCCCTTCTACTCGGTTCACCGGACCTACTCATCAATGATAATATCATTATTATTGCTATCATGACATCATCACTATCATTAATGTATCCACAGTCGCTATCAAAATATTACCATTATCATTTTCATTACCATCATTATTAAGCTTATTGCTAAGATGGCCATCAAGATCTCATTACCATTTCAGTTATCACCACTCTCATAACATTACCATATCACTTATCATCACTTTCACAAAAGTAAAATTCATGATCATAATGGTCCGTATCCTGCTTTCGACGATGATGTAATTATTGCTGATGAGAACGATTTTTTTTCAAAAAATATCGAGGTGAAGAAAGAATTGCACCTGAATTGTTTCCTGCCAGATTTATGACGTGCAGACTGTCTGCTTGTGGATCGATCTCTTTTTAAGTGTCTACCTCTTCCACGCTTCGTTGATGGCGCTCGTGCAGCTCGCAATCTTGCGAAGTGCAATCTTTCTAATTTACGCTGAAAACTTTTCAGACGAATTTCAGATGAAATTCACAAATATTCAATTAAAATTCTGAAAAATTTTGACAGTGAAGGAGGAAGGCCGAAGTCATCAACGAGTTGAAATTTTAACTTCTGATGAGGAGGAAATGAAGAAGCAGAAGAAACAGATGAAGTACCTGACGTGTATGCTTTCTCAATACGTAGAACTTATAAATGATAGAAATAAGTTGGATCACACAAAAAATGACGACGAAAATGATCAGTGCCACAACGGCTGCATGTAAACTGGCGATCGATTGCGTCAATTTAATCCATGCATCACGTGGTATACCTGACATCTGCTGCTGCAAATGGCACAACAATTAGGATACGGCTCGATCGGACCTCGTGAAAACTTCCGAACATTTTGAGGTGAACAAAAGTGTGTGCGATGTGCTGGAGCTTTTGATTTGAAAGTGCGAGAAATGATTAATATTGGCATATTCCCCAGTATATATCAGTTACTTATANGAGATGTGAGCTCGTTATCATTTGAATGTCTGAATGGTGAAGAGGATTTAAGAATGTGGTCGTTTAACAGATTGAATTTTGCCACTGCCAGTCAAAAGATTACAGAATAATGTTTACTGCTGTTAAATTTTCAATGGAATAGTACCAGTATGGCTCAAATGATGAGAACAACAATGCAGTAATGGAAACAAATCGCTCACACGTGCCAAGTTTCGCATCCTTAAATACTCTATCAAAACAGAACAACCCACAACCACACACACCCACACTATCTAATAATCGACAATAAATGTTCCGGAACACATCGTAATTATATTGCTGACAACAACAATAATGAATATTACTAAAAGATGATGATTATTTCATTAATAATAACGATCAAAATCAAAATGCAAATGGCAATCGTAACATGCAAATCTTGAGATTGAAATTTTGCAATTGTAATTCTTAAAACCTTATCGAGGTAAACATATGCTTTTTAGGAGGTCTACGTTCCATTCTATACAGATATCACAATCCTGAACAGTTATCCTGGAAAACTGAGGTTGTATTCTAACACGAAGTATTTCGATTATTGTCTTTATTCTACTAGCCCTAAGCATTCCCTTGGAGCACACTGACAGTTTTTGTGTCACTTAGGACCTTGTCCAGCTGAAGAGCGCAAATAATTTTCATCTGTGTACTCAGAACTGAGCATATGAATCACCTGAAACTTATGCTCCATGAATTTCTGCAGCTTTGCATTGAATGATCCACAAAGAGATCAGACATGAAATAAGGAATAGACGGCGCAATGCAATTGTCCAGCTTTAGGGAACATGTTCAGGAATTCAGCTATCTGTTCGTAAGTAAGCATTATGCACCAACAAAATACATTGTGTTCCATAGAATAGAATTTTCTGTATCCAATGGTACTAAGGAATCACGGATATCTGCTCAAATTCGAGCATAAATCTGGCCAGAAATGACCCATACTCTCTAAGAAAAGCGATCCCAAATTCTACCAATATTTTTCGAAAGAGTGAGCTCATTCAGGTGATTACACATTTCTCGGAAATCTCAAATCCCTTTCTTCATGTCACTTGCAGAGTTGAATGTCTGTCTGCAAAAACTATGTTCCTGGTCGATCAGAGGAATATTGCTAATGACTCTACTTTTCTAGAACTAAGAATTTCCCATCAAACGACTCGTAACTTCATATGTTCTCAACCATTTGGCAGTTCTGATATCTATTTTATAGAGAGTTACTTCTAGAAACCGTATACTGCCGAGCAAATATTTCATCCTCTCGAAATATAACTTCATATGAAATTCTCACTTGCTTCGGTATATTCCTATACTATATTGACTATGAGCACTAAATACATTATGTTCAAAAGACTTGCATACTCAGTTCTTCTCAACGACTCAACTGTTCAGATATGCATTTTATATAGTGTTCCTCGGCTCATGAAAACGTGAGAGTTTTCATGACAACATTCGGAGATTTTGTGAGATTGTACACTGTTTGTGATTAAATGTACGATATCTGTCATTCCAAGCATTCAAAACAATATTTCTGTTCGATTCAGCCATATATCAAGATGCTTATCATGAATTTTATTTTGCCTGCAAATGGGCTTATTTACTTAATGAGAATATGTTGTCCTTTTTTTCTGACAGTACTGATTGTGTTAACGAATCAACAATTTTTTCATGTCACATTTCATTATGTGATCGCTTTTCTCACTCTTTTCCGAAAACGTTTCATTCGTCTATTCGTTCATGTTTATGGATGAAAAGGGCTTTGCTTTACCAAATCACCTAATAAACAACATTGTTGACTTATTGTTAGCGTCGTACGATATTGTGATGTTAGTGTCGTGGTAAATCGTTCATGTCCCTTCCATTTTCATTATTTTGGACTGGAACCTATACTACACTTGAACTCACTCAAACCTATCTGCACGAAACTTTTCGTTGTCCACTCGTCAAGCCGAACCCATCGGCACCAATCTCATCGAAATGTGAGCAATAAATCATTTCGCCAGAAGCTTTACTAAAATCCTGACCATACTTATCCCTCACGACCTCAAAATTCGAATTTTTGAGATGTTATGGTATTTCTACTGGTTGCTGAGTGGGGTGATCTGAGGGTCCGAATACTCCTACTGGAGAGGAGGACGAAGAGAGTTCAGCCTGAGCAATCTACGATTACAGTTGCTACCGTTCTTGCGTGGTCACGTTCACGAATTTCCTTACTCAGTTTTTAGCTGACGAAAAGAAAGAGGAGCATGCATGTACATTCAGAACCATTGACTGAATACTGCCGAAGAGTTCTACACTAAGCCTGACTTATGGCTGCCGGAGGGAAACGCAGACTGTTTTTTCGACGTTATATGCTCTCCACAGAAGAAGAAAATTGAACGTGAGTCACAGACAGCAACCTTTTCTGTACATATCACTAAATTTCAAACAATGATGCTCACTCTACCTTGCTGACCTCAACGTAGCATTTACCCTAACATGCATTACACGCCATACCATAAATTACCTACTCGCTGCATTCCTTTGCCATTCCTATTTTATGCTAAATGACATGCTAAATGTCCTTCATAAACTCACAAAATTTTTTTCTCACTAAAATTTGTCTCATTAAGACTAGAACCTATACTGCACTTGAATTCACTCAAACCTATCGGCACGAAACTACGGCAAAACAATTTGTGTGTTATGTTTGATGTTCCTCAAAACAAGCCACGTGTGCAATTTTCGCATGAAATGTTCCTCAATTCATGGTTACTTATTTCAGTACAATTTGCCTTATCGCTAACAGTGTTTTGCACTAACAACATTTTAAAACGCCATCTCACATCGACATTGCACTTGAACCCATTTGAATTCACTTAAACCTATTGGCACAAAACAACAGCGGTTGCCGCCATGACAATCCTAAACTCGACTAATCCTGACAACTCGTTGATCCTTTCAGGCGATTTCAGTGTAATGTGT